ATCATAATCAATTCATTTTGTATAAACAAAGTTAATTGACTTATGTCCAAATCCAAATGACAAAAATAAATTTTGTTTTAACTTTATTTCTAAAAATAAAAACAACAAGATTTATAAATTTAAAATCAGTAATAAAAACTCATTAAATTATTAGAAGTTTCATCCAAAAAGTTTTTAATAAATTAAAAGAAAGTAAAAAAATAACCTAACAAATACAATTCTTTATGGGAACCTAAATTAGATTGCCGATAATTTTCGCATTTAAAAATAAAAAGAAGTTTTTTTTAAAAAAAACTTATCTAATTAATGAAGAAACTCTTCTTTATATATTCTTTTCAATAATAGATTGCCTTCAGAACAAGGTAACATCGGCGATCACGAAGTTAGTCCACTGAAAATAATCTACAAGTAAAGTCGCGACAACGAAAAAAAAAAGCTATTAGGTGCGAAAAGGAACATGCGATATAACGATATAACTCAAAACTCTGATTCTGATTCTACAGCTCACCAATCAAGGCCATTTCAACATAACGAAACGAACATCGTTTTCCACAGTGCGAGTCGACATCGGAACGTAAGAGAAGAGTCTTATATCGCTATATCGTTCTTATATCCTTGCGTGTCTTATATCGCTATATCGTTTTGCGCTCGTTGTCTTTACTCGACGGCTTTAATCAGATTTCTGATGCATCGCCTTGAATGAAAGTCGCTGTATCGTCTTGCCGATATATGCGTTAAATCGATATGTCTCGATACATCGATTTATAGCCCAGTCCTACCTACGAACTGGACCACCTGCCAGAGATATTTGACTTCAGTGATCAAATGGAAGCCGTGTCTTATGGTTAGTCCACTGTAAGATTCGTATGACATGAAGGGAGAAAAAATTAGTGAAAATCACGTGGGTTTTTATTTTTATAGCAAATAAATTTAAAGGTTTCAGAGCATATTGTTAAACGTGTCGGTCATAAAAATGCAAAGATCACATTCGCACGAACACTAAATACCCTTTTGCTCAGACTG